CCAGTCTCGTCTGCGCTGCGAGCCGCCCGGTGCGAGGAGCCGTCCCTCGTGGCTTCGGTCTGCATTTCCCTCACGGGGCGTGACGAGGGGCCGTTCCCATGTGCCCGCTGGCCCTCGCGTGCTTGTCCCGCTTACCCAGTCTGTCCACCAGAGGGCTTGGTTCTCCCGTGTGTGGTCATGGCTCTTTTGTCTGCGATTGAGGGGTGCTATATGCAGGTGTGTTTCTGGGTCCCCATTCTATGCCATTGATCCAAGGACCCCGATGCTGTACTGTTTCATCTACTGTCACTCTGTAATATAGTTAAAGTTGGGCAAGCTGATGCCTCCAGTTTTCTTTTTTCTCAAAATGGATTCAGCTATTTGGGTCTTTTGTGGCTATATATAAATGTTGGCATCTTCCATTTCTTTACAACATTGCAGTTTTTCAGTGATTGCATTGACTCCACCTGTTTTTGGTAAAATGTCTGTCTTGACTGTTCTCATCCAGGACAGTCTCCTCTGTCTTTTAGCAGCAGCTTAACTGTCGTCGTAAGGTTTTCACTTCCCTTGTTAAATTTATTCCCGGGCGTTTCACTGTTTTTGATGGAACTGCACGTGAGGTTTTAACCTCTTCACTTGGCATGTAGGAACATGATTCTGGCCGCCTGCCTTTTCTTTATAACGTGGGTGAACATTCATCCGCCCTAACAGCTGTTGGTAATGCCCCAGTGGCATCCCCAGGGACATGTGTGTGTGCTTCCTGCACCTGTGACCTTGGCAGTTTCACTTCTTCCTGGTGCGCCCCAGACCCTAGTGCCAAGCGAGAAGTAACGGCGAGTCCCGGTCGGGCTCCCCAGCCCTGGGACGCCGCTGTGCCCGTGCTGTGTCCTGTCCACCCCGTCCTGTCGCGAATGGGTGTCGGCTCTCGTAGTTTCTCTTTGCGCCTGTTGCTGTGACCCCGCGGGTCCTCGAGGGTGCGCGGCTGCATTGACTAAGCCACGCGTTCAGCCCTGAGCCGCACTAGGCCACCGAGTGTGACCTTGCCAGGTGGCACTGTGTGCGATTTGCTAGTATTTTAGCAAGAATTTCTGCAGCGGCAGCCTGCCCGCCCCTTTTGTGAGGCTTCTGCTGGTTCCGCGTCAGGGCAGTGCTGGCCGGGGACGAGGTCTCGGCGCCCCCTTGATAGTGTCACCCTAAGCTCAGGGCACTCTGCTCGGCTGTGTCCACGCCTCCCTCCCAGGGGCACCAGTCCTGTGGGCCAGGCTGCCCATGACCCCGTATTAGCGTGGGTCCATCCAAAAGATGCGATTTCCAGGTACAGCCACGCCGCAGGGGTGAGGTTCGGGGCAGGGTCCCAGCCGATTCAGGCCCATGACTCGTGTCCCCGGCCCTCGGGAAGCGCCCCGTCCTGGTCCTGCCGCGTGACAGCGGGCCGCAGCGGGCATCACAGCGTTGGGGCCTGGCACCCGCCGAGAGCTGGCTGGGCCTCATCTCCGCAGAACTCTCTCCCTGGACACTTCCCATTCTGTCTCTCTTTTCAGTATCTGTTTGCTTTTGCACACAGCTGGGGTGCGGGCCAGAGACCAGAGTGGGAGCAGAATGGGCGGACCCACTGAAATACACTGCTGAGGGGGCAGCGGCGGGGGGGCAGGAGGGGTCTGGGGCACCCTGTGGTCACTCCCTGGCCGGGCATCAACGCCGTGCTGTTAGCTTCTGAGTGCTGCGCTTTGACCCGCTGCGCCACTTTTTAACCAAGCACCCACTGGCATCCGTTGGGCTGCCTGGCCCCCTCCTCCGGTCACCTCTGTCCTGCATTGATGTCCACTGGCTTGTCTGTCTGGTCTGTTCCACCTGACCCACTTCTCTTCTCTGTTCTCACCCTGCGTCGTCGTCGAGCCTTCCGCTTGTGCAGATGGCACGCACCCCTCGGGGGCCGTGTGACACCATGGTGCGCTGGCTCTTCGGCCGGTGAGTCACTCCCCAGCTGGACACCCAGGGGTGGGGCTGCTGGGTCACCGGCAGCTTTACTTTCAGCGTTTCTGAGGAAGCCCGCTGCGTCCCAGCGCCTGGCCGCCTCCCCACGTGCTCAGCAGCGCTGCTGTC